AACAGAAGGGCGGCAGCCCTGAAGAGCAGTGGAAGCGTTGGGGGAATTTTCAAAGAAGAAAGGAGGCGGCGCAGCACCGGACCTGTAAGCTGCACAAGTACACCTGCGTCGGCGCATGGGCCGAGGTCACAAACGACGAGCAGCGGGATCAATACGGTGCCAACTTCTTCCCCTGGTCAGGTAAAGTGTCGGGCGCGCCCTCTGCAGCTGATGCCAACGCCCATGTCCTCTCCCCACCGACAATCAAATTTTTTGCTTCTGAGCAAACACAACACGAATGCTGGTGTTAAGCAGACGGCCGGCGAATCAAAGCGTCCTGGGATCCGGACAGGTAGTGGCATCACAGACAAAGTTCAGGCAACAAAATCGGCGGGATTTGCAGAGCCGATGAGCGGGCAGCATCGCTATGCGCCAATCTCAAGGGATCTCAGCGTTTCCCGATGTTACCTCAGATCCGCGAGCTCTCGCAGCTCCGCATGCGGGGTAGGATGCTCAGCCCCGGATGCTCAGTCACGTGGTCACAGCCGGTTGTTGAATTCCGGGTGTGAAGTTGGAAAAGTGGCATTGAGAAATATGTTCGACGTCACTGAAGAGGATCATCGGAAGGAAATCGCCACACTTGGCGTGAACTGTGACGTTCGTGACTCGACACAAATTGGCGGAATGGGGAGCGACAACGAGGCCACTGTTCCGGCGATTTGCAGACAGTCGGTGGAGCCTCCCTCACGGCTAACGTCGCAAGAGACGTTTCACAGCGATCCGGACAAGGACTCCCTGTCAGACGACGGCCTCAGTATCATTCAATTCCCTCCTCTGGGAGGCGTGTGGTCCACGGGAAAGTCAAGTGTATACTCCGAAAATGTAAAACAGCGCAGTCAATTTTGAGGCTGTTCCCAGCAATTCAAAGGATGTTTCAGCACTGCTCGGCGTTGATGGAGCGTCGCGGTACTCAAATACGGCGTGCTCGGGGATGCACCAGAACGTCGACACATCAGAATGTGCTTCCACATTCGAGCGCTCTCCTAGTAGCGATGAGGTCTTGGGCAGCCGCAAGTCAGTCGCGAATCCAGATGCACAAAATGCGTTGAATCGAGCAACTGAACGGGGAACACCTGGAGATGCGGAAATGGCGATTCGCGAGGATAACGACAGCAAAATTCTCCGCCATACATTCTCCAATCCAGCTGAAAGGGTGTCAATCCGTTCAAAGACCCATCCTTTGGGTGAAAAATCAAACTTTGCATACAGTGCACTGACATGCCAGCGCCGCACAGATTCAGGGAGTAGGGAAGACGGCAACCGCAGCGAACAATTGGCAACAATTTTCCAGGAACACAGGCTCCAATGCGGCGATGACGCGTCAAGTTATGGCGCGAGCCAGGAAGATAGCCAGCCGTATATACAAGAAACGCAACGTGAGAATGGAGGGGATGGGGCAGACAATTCTGCTGGCGCACGTCCATGCCTCGCTTCCAAAGACGCGGCTAAAGAAAATGATGTCAGGTCCAGCTCAGACACAGCTCTGAGCACATGCAAAGCTCTTACCAGAGCCTTGTCAAGAGCATTGGACAAAGCGCTTAAATCAGATGGGGCCGAGTTCTGCCAGAAGATACCGACGGGCTGCAGCAGAGACAATGGCGCGAGGGACACGGGCATGGCCTCGCATTCAAAGTCTGACACGGCGCCTGCCCATTGCGATGTCATCATACAGCCCTCGGTTTGGATGCCTGCCTCTGAACTAAAGCGCGCTTCGCGCAGGAATGCCCAACGTTTTAGGAAGTGGGAATCGAAGAGGCAGCTAGCGCCTGATCCAGAATGCTGTCCTCCACGCAATGTCAGCAGACTGGAGGACCACTACAACACTGCCGAAGGCCTGCGCACAGCGGCACTGCTGCGGCCTGACAGGGCTGGTGGAAAGTCAGATCATAAAACAAATTTGCAGTCACCCAGAAAAGAAGAGGTGTATCCGAACGGGAGAGCGTACGCTGACGAAGGACGTTCCTCGATCGAGGGACAAGTTCAACCTTGTACTTCAGAGAAGAACGCCGCCGATTCTCAAGAACCGAGAGTGGATACGGCCAGTGAAAACGTATCCCCCATTTCAGAAAAGAAAATTGCTGAAGCGGAGGAAATGACAGTGGATGTGAATGGCAAAAGGGGATCTTCTGTTTCAGAAGAGCAATTTACTGAAACAGACGAACTGACTTCTGATGGGGTCGATGTCAAAGGACCTCCCATTTTCAAACGGCATTGCGCCGATGCTGCAGAACAAGCGGTGGGTGTGGGAGATTTTGAAGGGCCCGCCGTTGCAGAATGGCAACGTGCCGAGGTAAGGGCGGAACAACCAGCTGCGGAGATGCCGCAACAGTGCTGGGCTGCCATGAATGAGAATGGAATGTATGTGGAACAGCAAAGGTCCTCAAACGCGGAAACCAAGGGCAAAAGCCAGCGAGAAGAACATTCAGATGGCAGGTTTGCTGAACGGGCACTCATCACGGGGATTGACGATCACTCAGGAGCTCGAAAGTCAGAACAGTGTCCAGCAGTGCATGAGGAAGAAGATGAGCGCAATTTGTATGATTCTATGGATCCAGACACCGAAGCAGAAGGGGAGCCAGAGGAGATGCTGGCAATGACAGCTGCAGAGGTGCGGGCGCCAGATCAATGGCATGAATCTACAGACCAATGCACGGGTGCCGCAGAGGACAGGTGTATTCCGATCCCTATACCACAAAGTGAAGAACAACCATGTGCAGTGGCAGAAGAGGCAACTGTGACTGTGGATGCTTGCGAGCAATGTCAACAAGGTGCTGGCATGAAAATCAATTACAGTGACGGGGCTGTGGCGAATGATGGACAGTCGGCAACAGTTGTTATCAACAAAGAAAATGATGTGAAGAATGGCAAGGGACGAAGTGGTGAGGTAGGTTCACCAGGCGACACTACACCAACAGATCATGAGGAGAAGAATTCAGGAAAGAGAGGATTACAAGATACCGCTGTAGATAAAAATGCACAGTGCACATCCTGGCAGCAAGTCGACTGGGGCTTGTGGCAGAGGAATTCGGCGGTGACATCAAACCTCACGATCTACACTGAAACACCGGCAACAAATGATGGCAGTGACCAGACGGCCATCAGCAAATGCATCAACAGCAATCTGCAGCCCCACACAATGCCAAATTCAACAGTAAATGAGAGGGATCATCGTGGAAGGCTTGTTGAGGGCCAGGAGACACGCTCGCAAACGCAAATTTCTTATCGCCCTTGTGAAAAGAGTGTTCCTCTACCCGATCACCCTTCCAAAACGTTGGCCGGCATGGAGAGCGCCCTCATAGTGGTTGGGAGGTCAAAAGAGGGGGGAAGGACGGGGAAGAATGCACTGACAGCCTCTGGCAAGCACGGAGACCTCGGCGAGCTGGAGACAGTGCCCCAGAGGCCAGCCCTCAGTGCACTGGAAAATAGGCCCGGTTGCGCAACAAGGTCCCGCATATCTAAAATGGCTGTTTCATCTCATCCTTTGTCAACTCCGAGCAGCACTTTCACATCGCCCTTGTCCAGTCCCAGGCGGTCAGGATCACCACCTTCTGGGACGCCAAGAGGTCACCTAACGCACAGGCTGGTCGGTGCAACTGATGCCGGGCATCAATCCATGCCCCACACGTCCAGTTCTGCCGACATGGTGATGGGGCGGATGCCTGAAGAGAGGACTGATCCGGTTGGAATGTTGCCTATTGAAGCAATTGCGGGCGAGGAAGGCAGGTGGCTTGACGTCCGCATTGCAATCGCATTTGAGGGACTGGCAACTTCGCTGCCCGTGCATGACGGACTTACCACAGGTGACGCCTGCCTTGCCTGTGCCGGCACCTCGGATTTCAGATCTCGTAACCAAGGCAACCTGAGCTTGAGATCGCACCCCTTGTCGTCCTTGTGTTCGTCATTCTCTTCTGACTGCACCCAAGACGACATGCCTACCACAGTTTGCCAGTGTGGTGAAACGGCGGAAGGATTGCGGAATTGCTGATGTTGTTGCAGTTGCTCGTAACAAGCGACTTCATGAGCAGACATTTCTGTCCAAATTTCGATGGGCTTGATTCTGCAGTGGCTTGATTCGGATAGGGATAGAAGAGCGGTTGTTGCTTCTGATGAGTCAGGGCTTTCAGGCTGTCGCATGCTGATTGTTTCGTTCGAGGTACCTGTCACGATCCAGGACAATGCAGTAAACAATGCTGCATTTGAATTCTTACACCAAACGGTGGGCCATCTGCGTATTACCCTTTAACTTGCATGCAGGTCGTGGCAGTCGCCGTTCCTGTCAGGGCGGATGTTCACCTGTGAGCCCTGCTTTAAGGCGACCGCCTTGCTCCGATGTTTGTCTGCCCACTGGTGCCGTCCCATGCGCACACATGGTGTGCATGTACTTCATGACCTCCAAAACCGAGTACAGTAGTGGTTAATTCCGTTGGCCACACTGAAATATGGCTGCTGTGGGGGTAGCTATCTGGACAATCTGTTTTGTGGACATGCGACTGACATCGCCTTGCGGGTGCAAGGGCCGCTCTGCTGGGAGCAAATCTACCAAGTTATAGCTGACTGGATTGTGCTTCGCCAATAGCAGCCGATCAATCGCGCCCTTGCGGCCTTGCAGAAAGTCCTCCAGTGCAAGCTGCACCAGTGAGGCTTTCTCCCTCCTGGCAGAGCTACGAAGACGTTGCTTGCTGTGCATTTATTCTTAGCACGTGATCCAGACAAACACGTGATGCACGGGCCCCACCGAAGTCGGGCTGCGCAACCTCCCGCATCGCGCCACAGGGACTGTGAACGTCGCTGAAAGTGTTTTTTTTTGTTTTGTTTTTGCAATCTGATGTTATTCTCGAGGGTGGGGAGCGCTGTACCACATGTGCTGCTTTCAAGGTACCTTCCAACCAGTGTGACCACAGCGGTGTGTGTTTCCTACATCGGCATCCTCGCTCGCCAGTGTTGGTTTCAGCCTGGCCCAGCCAGGCTTAAAACAAGTCCGCAGAAGTACATTACCAACAGCAAGTTCCCGGAACCATAAGACCTGTTGGGTGACGGGAACAAGGGCAGGCGCCTGGACGAGGCACCTGAGGGGTTTGCTTCCCGGCCAGTCAGCGCCAGTTTCATGGCTTCCTGGGGCGTGCCCAACGGGTGACCGCCTCCTAGCTGCATTGGCGAAAAAGGCAGGGCTCAGAGTTGGCGACGCAAGATGCCTCCGGGAGTAACTTCCATCACGTCGAGGAAAAGTCCTCACGGGAAGCGGTCTTGGACTCTCATTGTTCGCTGTCCGCAACTGTCATTTGACTGCGGGCTGCGCTTGTCCCAGGGGCCCAATCGTCAAGTACCTGAGCGTGGCTCTGAGAGAACAAGAATGGCGCTGGATGCACAGCGCGAAAACATCTCGACGCAACCAGGGTCGCGTCCCGCCCGCGTGAGAATCGATGGTAAATGGCTGCGAGAAAGTCCTGCATTGAGAAGCAGCCGGTCTCCAGGACCGGTGCTTGCTTTGTTGGGGTATTGATCGCTTGTGTTCACGGCGTCGACCGCAAAGGGGGCATGCTGGAGGGTGGGGGTCAACTGCTGCGCAATTCATGCGCCCTGGCGGCCATCAAGAGAGTGCCCATTGAGGTTTTCAACATCCGCGCAGGTCAGTGTGGCACAATTTTAACATTGTAGCCAAACTTTTCACTCAGCGGAAGACGAGTGCGGACATGTCGCAGCAACAGATGCATTGTCTGCACCAAACAAGACGATCTTGTGTTCCATGATGTTGGAAAATGCAGAGCCTTTCATTTGTGCACAGTTGCTTATTGCCATAGGGTTGCCTGAAGTGACGTTGGAATGCAACTCTTTGTCATGCCTGTCAAAGCCAGCAGCCAGCAGGCAAGTGCGTTGCCATGGACAACAGGGAAACAGCAATGCAGATAAAGGCAACAATCAAGTTACGCTGCAGATCGGAGTACGAAGCAACACATTGTCGCACTGCAGCAAGCAGCTGCAACAACATTGCCACTGCTGCAAGGGCTGACCAGCTGCTCCAACGGGCCAGTGTCTGTTGTCCGATTCATGTACGCAGCATGTTGCACTGCTGCTGTTCAGCCATTGAACATTTCATTGTGCATTGGTCTGTAGCTGTGGTGGAAAGCCAACCTGTAATTCTGCAATCTCTATTTGGCTGCTTGTGTTGGCATCCTGGGTTGCATTCCTGGCCATGCAGAGAATGCTGAAAGGTTTTGTGGTGTGGCTGCGAAAGGTCGTGCGAAACCAGGCTTGAAACCTCAGCACAAGACTGGCATCGCCATAATAGCCGATGTCTGCAATGGCTCAGTTGAGAATGTGCACGATGGTTCGACCACCATCAGGCTTGATCCTGGCGGAATCGTAACTGGCAGCCATGTTGGAGACACAAAGACAGCAGGAAGCTGCACCCTCCTGGCCCAAGCCACGCTGCCTGTCCTCCTCTATGCACAACCAACAGACAGGTGCTGTACAATCATGCCATCACGGGATTCGTTTACACTCTGGCATGGTAGTTTAAATTGCATACTTCAATGCTGTTTGGTGGTGAAGCACCAGCTCTGTAGTTTGTGGGCCATGAGTGTTGGATTGTGCATACCCCCTGTTGCCACAGACTTCCACATGCTGTCTGCATGGCAATATGCAGATGCATGCAACAAACTCTACATCCTGAAGCATTGTTACATTGAGTGCTGTGAGGGCAAGCTGCGCAGTTCATCGCACAAGGCATCAGTGCTTCAGCAGTTCATTTGACAATGTACTGGCATACTACGTATGCTATGTAGTGTCACTGATCAGAATTATCACTTGCTTACTGAACTCCTTGCTTCGACTTGCAGCACGCCCATTTCAAAGTTGGAGTTCCGTGGAGGCACAGATGCTGCCTTGGCTCCCCCAGTTGGGTATTTACAGGTAGGAAACTTTTTAGGCGTTTGAACGCTACTGCTCGTTGCGATCAGTCTGCTTAAGTTCGCATGCAACTGGTGTCATGCTTGTGAGGGGATTCCTTAAAGTCTTATACCCTGCCAACACAATTGCAAGGGCAAGGTTAAATAAAAGGGTGCCAGTGCCCCTTGGAGGAAAAGCGGCCCCAAAGCATCCACTCCCATGCAGCAGAGAATCTGATTTGACAATCACTGATTTCGCAGCTGTTGATTCTGCAGATGTTGCTACGTGCGGAATCTCCTTGTGGGCTGTCTTTAACTTCTTTGCTTCCCAATGTACCTTCAGAGTGAATTTGAGACAGGATCACTGTGCCATCTCAAGCACACTGGCATTGCTGAAATTGAACTGTTCTTGTCGCAGCTGCAAAGCTTTATGGGGAAAAGAGACGCATGTGCGATAAACAGAACACTAATGGGCACTGCCGGGTACTTCCTGCCAATATGATGCACCTGATGTGTTTTGGGGCGTACTTCCCCATCATTACGTTCTGTGAAGAAGTGCAGGCGTTGCATCTGCTCGCTGTTGCCATCTTATAGTCTTGGCACATTTTGGTATGTGCAGTGTGTACTACACTACACACAGCTCTCACCAAATTCCGATGGTGTACAACCCCAAACACGTTGTGTGCAGCATTCACTTCCATGAGTGAAGTTGTTGTGTGCAGCATGTTCTTGTTCCACTGCTGAGGGCTCGTTTGGGGCTGGAAGTGGAAGTCGAACTTGTGCGACGAGGTTTCTACCCAAGAGGTGGCGGCATCATGAAGCTGAACGTCAAGCCCCTTGAGCTTGGTGTGCCAATCCCACCTGTGGATCTCACGAATAGAGGGGAGGTCAGTAACCATGCTCAAAGGGTGTTTCCCCTGAAATATCCATCCCAAGGGACACTGTCCCAAAAATGGCCCTTTCTTGAAGTTGGAATGTTGTCTGAGTATCGCTGTGGGTCTGTACTTGTGCTGTCAGATAACAATGATAACAATTCACGCTTTTGCGGCTGGCCGTCTTCTCAACAAGCAACAGGACATTGCTCTAGCGGCATTGACAGACCTTCGAAATGCATTAGGACCTGCTGTCAGAATTCAGCAGCACATCGTGGCGGAAACGCAGACCACTGCAAAGGACTCAGGGGCAGGTGGGCCTGGGAATGGCATCTTGACAGTTCCTTACGCTTTTGCATGATTCACCCAACATCGTCACTGGATTCTGGGTCACTATTTCAGATTTCAGATGTGGTGCATCTGTTGTACTTTGCCAATGATAGCGTACATGGAGACAGCGATGCAGAACGTTAACCACCAACACTGCACCATCGCAACTTCAGCTTTTGGGGTGCTCTGGATGCTGATGTGACACTGTGGGTTGGAGAGGTACTCTGTCGAACAGCAGGGTTCCCATGTACCACCTTCAATCAGGAGTGATTGCGAACTGACTATGATGGGCGTCGATGATGCACCATGTGGCAAATGCCCGCAGGAATGCTCCTCTTTATAGGATAACTGAATTTTATCAAAGTTTCTGTTTGCTCATGTGATTTCTTGTTGTGCCATTTCCAGCGTTGACTGTCAAAAACGTGGTATGTTGTAATACACGTGTGACAAAAAGCTGCTGTGCCAGTAGAGCGTTGCTTAGCTCCCGTGTTATGACTGCCAGAGTATGCATACGTGCAGAGTCAGCCACTCCTGTGAGCCCAGTGATGCCAACTCGAATGCACAGATTATCATAAAACCAATACACTGATTGTCCTGAGGGCCTGCTGGAACTACACTGGAAGAGGAATTCAATTGATTTTTATGGTTTTCGCAGCATTGCTGTTGTGAGTCCATGGTGAACATAATAGCATCTTCATTGAACTGCACAAAGCTTTGCTTGTTGTCCTGCTCCCAAGGTATTGATACACATGCGTGCTAGGTGCCCTGGTCATAGCCGAAACCGACACTGGCTGCATCTTAGGCGGCACTGCTGGTGTGGAGAAGCATCAGCCTGCCGCTGCCGCTGGCTCTCAAGCTGCTAGGGAGGTCATTGACGCTATTCAATCGGGATGCTGCGTGGACACCTGGTGAGGGGCGAACAATTGCGCGCCGCAGAATTCAATTGCCTGCTGCGCTCAACAGACGTTAAGCCCCCTACATCAAGATGGGATGCATTGTTTTTCAGCTCCAGCTGTGGAAGCTAAATGCTTGGGCTGAAGCTCTTTTGCCATGGACCACTGTCAATGCGCTGAATTGCAGCACTTTGAGTGTTCAGTCATGAATTACCCCAAGTTGGACAAGAATAATTCAAAGCACTTTGGTGGTGCACAAAACCAGCATGTGGGGTGTTGTGTACCTTTCCTGTCCTCTTATTTGCTGTTCATCATGGCCTGCTGTTTGCCATGCTTCAGGCAGTCGCCGTGCGGCTGTGGTTTTCAACTTTGTATCGCTCATTGACACAGCACACTTTGGTGTTGTAATGCACCAGACTGCAGCCACATGACTCGCACGAAGCCATGCGGCACATTGCTTCATGGTGGATCCACAGTGGAAAAGCCACATTTTGTAATTGGTATCTTTCTGTTGAGGATGCATTCCCGTTCACATTGGCAGCCACAAGGTAAAGAACATTGCTTTGGAACTGCACAGCGGAACAGCGCACCTGTGTACTGCCAGCACGCATGTCCCCTATAAGGAAGTGTGCCACAGTCCTTTTCCTGAGCCATAACGGCAACTTTCTCCATAGCTCAAGGTTGTTGCTGATAGTGATTGTTTCTAACAAAATCACTAGAAAATAACATGGGGTGTGGCATGAAGATAGATCTTGTTCCACTGTTGGCAATTCCACAATGCGCCGATCCACTTTGCCAGGGCACAGGTTGTGGATGGCACACTCTGAGATACACAGTCCATGTCTGCAGCACTGACACTTCTACCTGCCTGTGGCCAGGATGCAGGACCAGATGATCATTTTCATGGCCTTGGCAAAAGGAAAGTCACGCATGCGTTGCACAGAGCCAACCCTACACTCCCGGACTGCAATGGTGTTGGCAGAGATGATGATTGGCTGCAAATTCACGGTTCACAAACCCAGAGAGAATGGCGACCAGTGTTGGGTTGTTGAATGCCAAGGGGCAGATCTCACTAGGTCATAGTCATGGGTGTCGTCATTGCACGATCTGGGTGTCAATGCAGCACAGGAGCGAAGAGACTTTGTGGGAGATATCAAGCTGGGTTTAGTAAGGGAGCCGAATGCTCTCAGGCTTTGTTGTGTCCCCGTTTCGATGCATTTCCAAGCAATCGACACATGAAAACAGAACTACTTGTGCAGCAATATTGAGAAGCCAGCTGGCTATTCACACTCTATAGTTTGTTGCATTCCACGTCTGCAAGAGTATGCATTGGTGCGATTGGCGGCTGCGCTTTGTCCCCAAATGGGTCCCCAACTCATGCAGTCGCAAGTCCCGATACTTATGCATATTGCAACCTGCAGCTGTGCCCACAAACCCCCAAAAGTTCAATCACCGATGGACCACCACAGTGACAATGACTACCCCGCACAATGCATGTCATGATGTGGGGCACCCCCACGGGTGCTAAAAACTGTGGCATGAGAGTGCACATCTTTGTGACGCCATGGGAGCACAGTTCCAAGAAGTACATTAAATCGACACAATATCGTGAGAATACTGCGGGCCACGACACCTTCAGTGTTGCAGAGACACAGGCAGCATGTGGCGCCTCATAGCTCGAGTTGGGGATTCACGACTCAGCAGACTTCAAGCGATGAAGGAAAAGCACTCGTCCGTCGAAGCGAAGCGAAAACCCTGTGGAGTTACGGCAGTTTTTGTACAAGTGCGATCTCTGTTGTGCTGCTTCTCAGAAACCCTTCGCCCTCGATTTCTGAACCTGTGGCGAGTGGCGCCACGTTGGGCTTGGACCTGAAAGACCGTGAATTTCGCTGTAGTACAACTGTTCTCCGGTTTAGTTCCTGCTGTCTGCCCTGACAGGGCAACAAGGCCAAAGTAGAGGCTTGCCCAGGCTTGCCGTGTCAGCATGGAAAGCCGACAATCAGCAACGCGCAACGAATTCTTCAACCGCCAAACGAGACTGGGTTGAAGTGGACGGCTCTGTTTATTGCCTTTCGAGTCGGGTGCCAGAAACTGCGTATCTGGCTCTGGCGCCATAGGAACACCAGCTGCCATGATGTCTGCCCAAGCCTGTCCCCGAGCCTCTCCCAAACCTCCAGCGCCCCTGCTTCCCACCCATGGCGTCGGCCGTGAGCCAGCTCAACGTCGCGGCGTTCTACGGGGCCGACCTCAACCGCCCATACCGCGTCATCGACAGCGAAGACGGGATCCGCCACAGGGCCAACGAACCCGAGCCGGTGACCCGGTCACTGCTGGGTAAGCTGCTGGAGTCGAACACCACCCAACCGCGCTGGTCGTCCTCTGCGGACCGTGCCAAACCAGCCGGCTCCTGGACATGTTATGTGGCCGCGGATGCAGTCCACCTCTCAGCATTCCGGATTGTTGGATGTCCAACGATGTTGCATCCAACAATGGTGGTTGTTGCGAGACGCCCCGCCGAGCAATCTCCAGCTCTGGGTGTGGGGAAGGGCACCACAGGCAAGGCGGCCGCACAGTTTTGCAGGCCCAGTGACCTCCGCAGGAAATGTTCCCTTTCAACGGACGTAAGATGGGTGCGTGCGCAGAATGGGCTGAGGAGACGCCGTTCAAGAGCGGCGGGCTGGTCGTCAAACCCCGCTGGGTCGGCGACCCGCCACGGCAGGCGAGGAACGCTTTTCGGATCTTCGAGGATGAGGAAGGCGCCAGCCTGGTGGCGCCCGGGGACACCAGCTTCAGAGCAGTGGAGCGCGCTGCCCGCGGTGAGCTGAAGAAAAGATGGAAGAGCCTCGCAGAGAAGGAACGGCGAAAGTTCGAAGAGCTCGCTGAAGGTAACGAGCCCGCCGGAGAATCAATCGCCGCCGGAGAATCAATCGCCGTAACCTTCTTCGCCGCTGGCACTCCTCACGTTTGCATAGAGGCGCAGGGAACGGATTCCTAATGCAGCTCAAGTTACTGCCTCTCTGCGTTTATCGATGTGTGTTTTCAGGCATTGTGCTGCACGTACAGCCACAGGCAATGGACTATGAGGTTTTCTTGGTGGTGTGGTTCATCTAATCCTGACGTCTCTATCGGCTGCAGGTGACCAGTTGAGGTATGCAGCTGAACTGAAGGCTTTCGAGCAGAAGAATCCAGAGTACGCGATCCTCAGAGAGCGTGCCCAAAAGAACAAGAAGCCGAGGAAGGCGCCGAAACGTGCCAGGCGCAGGAACGCACCAACGAAGCGGCGCTCCGCCACGATTGACGTTTCTGAGAGTGGGACTTCAAGCTCTGCCAGCGACTGTTCAGACGAAGAGCCAGCTGAAGAACACCCATCTAAGGACATGGAAATGGTGGAGGTATGTGCCCTGCTGCCATCTCAACTGCTGCATACTGTGGAAGATGTCTATCGTGTAAAAGTAGCAAGCACAAATCTGCCATATACTGCTGGACACATACACCCTCCTTGCTTCCCCTTGCTGTCGTTCTTGGTTGAAACACCTATTTGAAGGCTAAGAAATTTGGTTCTGGTAGCAGTTATCTTCTCGAGAACAATGTTCCACTTAGATTTGGGCGATTTGTTTTGTTCCAGGCGGAAGCCACACCAGAGCTGATGACAAACAGCAGGAATGCGTGCGAATACGATGGAAACTATGCATTCCCAAAATCTGATAGGAGGAGAGCGCTGCGACCTCGTAGGTGACCATTGTCAGTTGGGACCTTTCAGCTGGAAAGAGAATCGCTGTTCACCCTCAATGGAGGCTGTTCTGGGAAAGAAGGGACAATTGGGCAGCGATCGGTGCGATCATCTATGCAGGTGACTGCTCCATACTCACAAGCCGCTGTATGCTACCCTGACTTTTGCATCACACCTGTGACAGGCTGAGTTGCATTCTGTATTTCTCCTTGTCAACTTCAGACATTGTTGAGGATTCAAGGAGATCGTAGGATAGATCATCTATGGCTGGATGTTGCATGCTGGGATTCTCATGATGTTGACTGCCTGGCAGTGGACATTGCAAACCCAGTGCTCTGAAGCAGATTGTCTAACAGTGTGGATTCGGTATGGAATGAAACTCGTCATGAGTTCAGAGATTTCGGCTCCCGCGTCAAAGCTCGTCCTGTGGCGACGTCGCAGTGCAATCTCTCGCTGTGTTGTAATGGCTTGCAGACAGTACGCAGATGTTCATGTGGTCAACGAGTGGGCAGGACGGGAACAGGAGATTGGTTTCTCGTTGCCTGGCTGCCAGATGTGTTTTGGGAGTGTAGATAGGCATGACAGCTGACGAAGTCAATGGCAGAATTGACATACTACTGTAGTATCATATGTACTTTGCTGCTAACATGCCAACTATTTCGTAGCCACCCGGCCGGATGCTTTGGCTCGCGGCCAGATGCGCTGCTTTGGATTGTCCGTGGCGTCCCTCCTCCAATATCGACTTGCTGTGGTGTACAATTTGGGATTCGCCTCTCAACGGCCTGGCCCTTGGAGGCTGCCAGCCACAATGACACCATGTAGGTAATCGTGGAGTTCTGTTATATTGTTCACACTTCAAGTATGAATGGTGTATGAAAAGCAACTCTAGTGTGGACAACATGAGGCCAGAGGAGACGCAGTAACTTCAACTTATGGCTTTCCGCTTGATGCAACCGGAGGTACACATGGTTGAAATGGGCAAAGCAACATGGCGATGGGTCAAAATTTCTATCGCACTCCTGCTCTATTGCTTCAGAAGCACTGCCAAACCTGTGCGATATCATGGTACAGTATAATTGATCATTTCAACTGCCAAACATTCTAGGCAGGGTTGTTTCACAGAATCTCCTGCGCTTTTCTGCGACATACCTTCAAAGAACCTTTTCACCTTGAGCCATTGCTGTGCACCATCTGCAGCCAATCAATGGAATTCAGACTCCGGTTTGCATTGAATCCTTCATGAATAAATGACGATATCACCACCACAGAAATGTTCCATGCCTTGGTCAAGTCGTTCAATGTTGTTGCACCTTTGCTGCCTTGTGGGCAGGGAATGAGCTCTATGGCATAGATGCTTCGTGGGTAGTTCTCAGGATCACGCTGGGGACATCTGTGCGCTTTACTCGTGCAACCTGTTGCAAAATAATGCAGTTGGCCGAGGCCCTCCACGTTCGATGGTTTGGAACGCTTTGCCCTCGCAAGTCACAAAAAACCATGAGCACCCAGAAGGAAAGATTACCGAAGATACCAACATGGCCTCTCTAACACCACTGCCTGCATTGAGCAAAGAGCAGCAGCGCTTGACTTTTGCTGCCAGATATATCCAATGATTTCAGCACTCTGACGAACTTACTCTCTTTGGCGGTGCTGACCATTAAACTAAGGAACTACCAGCATATCAGCCCCTTACGAACAGCATTTGGATATGAACATACATCGTTGCCGACTTGCATCTCATTATTGCGTCCTTCGCCCTCGTGGCACTCAGTGATTGATGCAAAGGACGCAACAGACCATAGATGATCCATACGACATCGACGTGCTTTGCAGCGCGGCTGGATACGGGTCAGCCGCAAGAACACTATTCCACCATGTGCGGCGTTTGCAGCACAGATAGACAGAAAAGCTGGTGGATGGTGAGAGCATGATGATGGTGGCAACTGCACCTCGTCCTCTTCTCCGTTCCTTGGCGATCGTCATGCACTTGCAAATGCTGCATTGACAAATCAAGATGATGGCAGTCTTTTATCGGAGCATTCTTGGCTGCGTGGACGGCTTCACGACGCTTGGCCAGGAGCGCGCACAGTGTGCTGATGTGTATTTTGCTAAATCCATAAACATGCCATACATTTGCAACAAACCCTCTGAGCAGGAATACACTGGGTTATTTCCTCTCTGCGGTGCACTGACAGCAACAGTGAAGAAGCGCAAACCCTCTGAGCAGGAATACACTGGGTTATTTCCTCTCTGCGGTGCACTGACAGCAACAGTGAAGAAGCGCATAGTATGTGCACACTCGGGCAGCACGGAGGGACAGGTGCAGAATCGTAGATTCACCAAAATATAGTAGGGCAGTCCAAAATACAGGAAGGATGGCTGGGGAGGCCAAACAGGGCTGCGCGTTCTTTCGGACATGGCCGACAACGCCAAAACACAGTCGTGTCGATCAAACTTTTCCCAGGCCGTCGCGTCTTGCTGCTGATTGGCGGAGCTGCATGTGCCAGGTAAGGGAACGTGTTGCTGTCAACCCTTGTGCAACCAACGCCTCTTGTCGCTCTCGCCTCTGGCTTACAACTCATTGTGCGCAGGTGTCCGTGCCGTGTGGTGTGCGAATCAATGCGGATGCAGCCTCCGATGCGAATCCCCGCATTGCATCAGGTGTCATCTGAACGGCGGAATGCCATTTGGCAATGGTCTGCCAGCTACCCCTTGCTGGATGTCCCGGTTGCGATTGTGTCAAGACCTTGCCAGGCGCAGGGGGCGCGCACCAGTTCGCTTTGCTCCGCGCGGCGTCGAGTACCGCTAGGTTGGCTTTGCGAGCCAGCCAGGGGATTGGCGGTCCGGACCCGAACGCGATAGCCAGCATGCACATCAAACAGGTTGGTTGCGCGGGGGTGGACGCCGAGCCATCCCCGGTCGCTTCGATCTGGCGCTCAGGTGGCGTCCTTTGGCTTCGCAGGTTGTCATAGAAGGTTTCAAGAGCTACAAGGAGCAGACTATTGCAGAGCCTTTCAGCCCCCGGATAAATTGCATTGGTGGGTGTCGAAGCATCCATGGGTCTCGTTGGGCCCCCTGGCAGCTGGGCAGCTGAGGCACTCGGAAGGGTCCGACTGGCCTTGCAACAGGACTCTCGCTGATCTCTTTCTTATTTTTGGATGGTGCAGTGGGAGCCAATGGCTCGGGGAAATCCAACTTCTTCCATGGTGGGTGCCTTCGTCGCTGGGATTCTGTTGGTCTGTGGTCAATCGGGATGCCGTCGTACTGCGCAGGTTGCATGCGTTTCTCACCACACTGATTGTGCGCAGCTATTCGATTCGTCCTTGCCGATGTGTTCGGCTCGACGTCCGCGGAGGAGCGGCAGCAGCTTCTGCATGTGAGTTTGTGATGCACGCTCAACGTTCGCTTCCGTCGTGCCTTGGAATACAGGCACTGAGTTCCTCGAATATCTGTTCGCTGCAGGAAGGAGCTGGTCATCAGCTGATGAGTGCACATGTTGAGGTCATATTCGACAACTCAGACAACAGAATTCCGGTAGGCTCGATTTCATGCTTGCAATTGCCACAAGATATAAACTGTGGCCATAAGCACTGCCTCGGCTTATTGTTCTGTCTGAATCTGCCTATTGTCAGTTTTAAGCGCAGTCACTCTGTTTTGCGCTGTGAAGGCCAACGTATCACCAGGAATTTTAGCCTATTGTTACGATGACCGCCAGTTGACAAGCACAACTCGTGTGCCAAGTGTCCTCTTGCTTGCTTCTTCCCCATCTTTCCTATGGGCAAGTGGTAGTGCTGGAAGCTTTTTGATCGCCAGCTGGTGTTAGAATTAACCATGGGGACAAAAGTTGGTTACAAGTAGTGCCTGTCATCGCCCGATAGGTGCAAGATCATGGCTTGTCACATTTCGACAATTGTAGCAACTGTTGTTACATCACATTCGAGCTGCTGAAGTGCAACAACACAAGTTCATTGATGAGTGGCAGGTGGACGAGAGGGAGGTTCGATTGAAACGCAAAGTGGGGCGAAAGAAGGATGAGTACTTTCTGCAGAACAAAAAGACAACGTAAGTGGCTCTGTCTGTTGTTGACATTGTAGGCGCCCCACACATAGGCATGCTGCACTTTGCACTTGTTCTTGTTCCTTTGGAAGCAAAAGTCTATTTTTGGCCACAGTGTGCTGTACAGACATTTGGTGGACAGACCAGCTAAGATTTGTATGAACATGCTGGTTGCTGCAGACTCTGGGACTGCAAAGTCTGGTTTCTGGGACACTCCCACTCCGTGGTGAAATCTGTTCACAAAGAATTGTGTGTGTGCTTCAGAAAATCTGAGGCTGTCAACCTTCTTGAGAGTGCTGGGTTTTCACGATCCAATCCGTACTACATTGTTCAGCAGGGGAAGGTGTGCACAGCCAGCAAGCATGACATAAGCAGCTGGATTGCACTGGAATTTTCAGCCGTATGCATATATGGGGACCGCCTAACTGAGCGCAGGCATGCACCACTTCGAGTAATGCCACATCTGGTGTACTTGCCAATGGTCCTGACAGGATATTGCTGCTGCCTGGCAATTGGTCTGTAGCAGCTTCGCTGGTCCTGTGTTTGCTGCCCCGTGCTGTGGTTTGTGTCTTGTGTCCTGCACAACGGGAAATAAACAACATACCCTTCTCAAAGTCAGTGATCTCTCTCTGCCTCCAGATTGTGGCGATGTCAACAATGAATGGCCGTCAGCGCTTGGAGCTCATCAAAGAGGTTGGAGGCACACGCATTTATGAAGAACGCCGGAAGGAGACATTGAAGATTATGGAAGAAGCGGAGCGGGATTGTGCTCAGATTGCAGACCTGGTATGCACAACGGTTAGCCTCACACTCACAGCGATGGGCATTATGATATGCTGTTTCCAAACAAATGCAGGTGGTGGACTCAGGCCACAGACACTGTGCTGTAGTCCACAATGTTGCAAATAGAAGCAGTGTCTGCTGGGATGAGGCAAATGATTACCTTGCTGTAGGAGCAAGCACATTAGCCAGTCCATGTGGTACTGTGTGGCAACATGCGGAGAGGTAATGAGAGTGATGGCTGGCTGTTGAACTGCCTGAAATTAGTATGCAGCCAACAACCGAGGGTCCTATTCAGAGAAAAATAGGTCAAGGCATCAACTTCTTAGTGTGAACTTGGCTACTGCACCTGGAGGTGCAGGGCAGAGATGTGTCTAGGTGTACCAGGAGATTGTCGAATGCCTTGTACAGGCATTCCTGATCTCGCTCCGTGCTTAACAGAACGGGCTGACCTGAACATTTTTCTTTGGCAGCTCTGTATGAAGACAATGTTGCAATTTGTGCTCATTGTTCAAACTTGACGTTGGCCCACTCTTGTGACTATCGAAGCTTTCCTGCTGTGCACTGGGCAGACAAATAGCATTGAACAGAAACTGCGAGATCTCGATGCGGAATATGAGGAGTTCCAACAATACCAGACAGTCAACAAGAGGAGGAAAGTTGTGGAATACAAACTCTGCAGAAAGCAACTCAGCAGTGCTGAAGATGAAGTGAAAAAGGTGAGTGTGAAGTGCACCAAACTGGACTGGGGATGGTGAGTCCAAGGTGTTCACCTAGCATGAGAGGATGCAGCTTTATGACCTTGAACACAGTGCCCTGTGCATGGCACTGAACGAGTTTGGCTCTGCATCAGTTGGATGCCCGACGAGAGGCAGCAAATAAAAACAACACCAAAGTACAAGAGGAAATCCGTGGCTCACAAGCAAGGCTGAAATCCCTGGACAAGGAGCGGAAGGGCTTGGTTCACAAAGAGGCCACATTGTCCAAGGAGCTGGCAGCTGTCAGAAAGAACAAAACAGCATGCCTGCACAGGAAAACTAAGGCTGGCTTGGATGTTAAGGAGGTGGAGGAAGAGATGGCAAGTGCCGACGTGGCACACAAACGTGCTGAAGAAGAGCTGGTGGTTGTTAGGCAAGAAATTGATGACCAGGAGCAACAGCTTGATCAGGTGCGGTGCTCAGTCAACAACTGAAGGTTACAGCAATTTGTTGTTGTTTTCGACACTCTACGCATGCAGTGACAGGGGCCTGTGCTTTTCTATCAAAAACATTTCTGCAGTGATTGTGCTGCTGATAACAACAGCACATTAACACTGTAAACCACAAATGAGTAGTGTTGATATGTGATGAAAAAGAGTGTAGTGGAGTGCAATAGAACTGGAATTGAATGAACCAAAGAATGTCTGTAGCAGGCGCCAGGTGGTGCTTGTGCAAAATGGACATAGGCTTTCTTGCAATGGCACTGTGTAAAGGAATATTTTCCTTCCTGGTGCTCCTGAGATCTTCTGTAATCCTCAGGACATCCGTGTCTGCTGTGGATTTTCACTGTCAAGATTTCTTGGGTGGCAGAGGGAGGAGGTCAAGTTCAGCAAGCTTAGCTGCAGTCATGTACACATGGTGTACTCATGGGTTGTCAGGGCAGCCTCAGGCTGTGGTGTCCATATTGTCAATTGAATGCAACGGTAAGTTGCAGAAATGCCAGGATCGCTGGCATCATCCTGGCACTTTGACAGTGGCATGCAATGCGGTATGGCAAACAGGTGTGTGACGAATTGAGGGCTGTTGAGCGCAAGGAAGCAGAAGCGAGCAAGGCTGTTGAGGAATGCGATTGCCGGCTTCAAAGCTTGTACCAAAAGCAAGGGCGGGGTTCCCAGTTTTCCAGTGCAAAGGAGCGTGATGCGTGGATAAAAAGGGAAGTGGCTGCACTGCGGGACTCTGTTGGGAAAAAGCAAGCAAATGTGGAGGGCCTTCAAGACCAGATTGAGAAGCTCAGTGGGCAGCTGATGGAGTTGTCGCAGGATATTGGGGACAAAGACTCTTCCCTGAAGGACAAGGTGAAGGAATTGGAGCAGTGCACTCAGAAATGTGCTGATCTGAAACGGAAACAGGAAGAACTGACGAACAAGAGAAGGGCGCTGTGGCGTCAGGAGTCAGAACTGGAAGAGAAGGCAAAAGAACTGACCTTTGAGCATGAAAGGTACTTGACTCACTTGGACTCAGACTCGTTTCCTTCCTTCACATCCAATTCCATCTCTCCTTAATTTCTGATTGCTATTGGTTGGGCTCTCTGCAGGAGGCGTAAGCACCTGGAGAAAATAATCGGATCAGGAGTGAATCATGGCCTCAATTCTGTCAAGAGGATCGTGATGGCACACAACATACCAGGGGTGCATGGGCCTTTGATGGAGCTGTTCAAATGCAACCCTCAACTTTTCACTGCTGTTGAGGTTGCTGCTGGTAATTCTCTGTTCAATGTGGTTGTGGACACGCACGAAATCGCGCTGAAGATCATCAGCTACTTGAACAGCGAAAAAGCAGGGCGTGTGAAGTTCATGCCACTGGACAGGCTGGTGCCAAAGATGGGGCACGCTCCCAGTAAGTACGGCACGGATGTCGTCCCCATGGTCAAGAACCTCAAGTACGATCCCAAGTTTGAGAAGGCCATAGGCGAGATTTTTGGCAAAAAGATGATCTGCAAGACCATCGACATCGCTTCAGAGGTCGCCAAGTCTTATCAACTTGACTGTGTGACTATGGACGGTGATCAAGCTGGCAGGAAGGGCGCCCTGAGTGGGGGTCACTATGACCCGGGCAGGTCTAAGCTTGAGGCCTTCCTGCACTTGAGACAGGCCAAAAAGGAGAGTGACGAGGCCTGCAGAAAGAAGGAGAAGATTGTGGCAGCTGTGCTGGACGTCGACCAGAGCATAAGCCACCTGATGGGAGAGACCCAAAAGCTGGAAGCCAAAGTGGAGCGTCTGAGGCAGACAATCCGGGAGGTGCGCTGCCAGGCTGGAACCAGTCGTACTTTGCATGCTGGTGGGGTTTAGAAAGCCCATTGCTTACCCACACAGAATATGACAAAACCCTGCTCTTGTTGGGAAAGATGGCTCCTTGCCAGCTTCACTGCCAGTGGTCTGAATATCCACCCATGCATAATCAATATGGCATGATGCATTTAATAAAGGCAGTGGATACGAGATGGCATATGTATGTGTATGTGGTATACTGTGGGTAGAACAGATACACTTGTAAAATGACCTGCAATTGGGCTGTGCGTTATGCACCCCACTCCTTGACATGGATAGAATTGCCACACTGTGTTGGATGGGCACATTTTATCGTATTGCACCATTATTCCCTTTACCGTGGAGCAGATGTCAATCGCTGATGGGCACATTGTGCCTTTTGATGATGCCCTTGGCTTTCCAAGGCTGCAAAAAGGCTGTGTTGTATGGTGGCATTGTGCAGGCACGACACGAATTGGAAGGCCTCCGAAATAAGGAAGTGGAACTAAGCCGTGTTCAAGACACAAAGGAACAGGCCATCAAGGAGCTCCAAGCCAGTACTGAACGCCTCCAGGTTCAAATATCTGAACTCAGTGCTGAGTTGGGCACACGTCTGTTGTCACATTTGACTGATGCAGAACAGGCTGAGCTGGCAAAGCTGGCACCAGAACTTCAGAACCTGCGGAAGCAGATCACATCGTTGCATGTTGAACACATGAAAGTGCAGACTCGGAAGCAACAGGTCGAGGAGGTGTTGAACAGCAACCTGAGAAGGCGATGCGAAGAGCTGAAACGTAGTGTGGAGGGGTACGACTTCAAGGCAGGCAAAGAGCAGTTGGAAGACAAGTAGGTGAAGGGTGTTGGAACGCACACACCCTAGTTGTCAGAATCCTTTCCCAGGTTCTGGTGCCGTCGAAATCCAGTTTGAACGGCCAATTTACAATGGTCTGTTCTGAATTGCAAACAAATGGCTGTTTTGATGTTGGCACATGATTGATCTTCCAGTGCTGATGCCAACAAAAGAATAAACTTGTATAAAACAGTATGCTTTGGATGTCATTTTTGTTTAAATTGGTTGACTGTTTTAAGCTACTTGCAACTCTGCTATCCACTAGATAGGCAGACTGTAGATGGTATCAGCACATGGAAAAGGGCATCTCTAGCTTTTCTCTGTGTAAAAGGATACGTTGAAGGCCGTTTGTTTTATGCTTTGTGCATTCCTGTCCCAGGCAGAGAGAAGATGCAAGTGCAAAAGCTGCTGTTGATGAAGTGCTTGCATCTGAGACAGAATTGGCAACCAAGCTGGAAGAAACACAAAGTCGGGTGTGTCACCAAGTGTGGTCCTGGGAGCAAATATGCCTTTTTTCAATTTTCAGAGAGAATGCCTGGTTCACTTTGCTCTTGCTTTCACCATCACCACATGGGCTGCACATAGCACATCTGGTGACTTTAAATTTTTGTGCTGATTGGGTATCTTCGCAGCCACCATTGTCAAGACTTGGCAAAGATGGCTTTTTCACCAAACTGGCAATATAGGGTTCTGTGCAAACTGTGCTGCTGCAAATAGCTGTGCGAAGGAGAAAAGTTGAGCCCTAGCAGGCTCCGCTGATGCTGTCTGCTGTGCTGAATGGAGGCATCTGGTTTGCCAGTTGAGGGAGGTTCAGAGTGAGTGGGAAGAGCTGAAAGATGTTCAGGGACGAGAGCAGCAGCTGGTGGAGGACGAAACTAAGCGCATGGATCAGCTAACATCAAAACGAGCCCACCTTATTCAGAAACAAGCAGACGTTAGAGACAAGATCCGTGATTTGGGCACCATCCCTGCTGATGCACACGATGCATACAATCATAAAAGCATTACGGTGGGGACCCTGGCACTGCATTGGCTCACGATGACTGTGAAAGGCTCAGGGACTTGCCCAGAATGCCAGCAGCAGGGCAGCTGATCGTAAATCGCTTTGTTGCACATGTCTAAATATGACCACCCACTGTTCTCACACCCACAATGCAAGGTCTGCAGCTGCTAATACATTCACACAAGTGAGGTCCCATATTGTTTGCAGTTGCTGTTTTGTTCTGCCCTCATCATTGTTCATGTCTGGGCGATTTGGTTCCAGTGGGTCTCTCTGCATTGCCTCCACAACTGCAAGGGTTTTGCTGGACAGTGGAGCAGCATCAGTTTTCGCTTGTTCCATTGGGACTGTGTTGTGGAATACAGGAACTTCAACACATGCTCGGAGAGATTCATGCTGAGCTTCGCCAATATGACAATGTGAACAAGAAGGCGGCAGACCAATATGTCAGCTTCAAGGAGGAGCTGGAAGAGCTGAAGAAAAGACATCTGGATATGAACAGCAGTATGTTGTGTGGTCACTCATGTAGCCAGCGATGCTTTGCCAGGGTTGTTGTGTGGTCACTCATGTAGCTCAGTGTTGCTTGTCAAGCAGATGTACTGTCAGTGCTAAGGCTGAAAAACTGTGAGGATAGAAGCTGACTTGCACATTGTGATGCAACCTTTCTGATTGCAGCCTCTTGTCCAGAGTCCAACAGCATAGATTCTGTGTTAATTTCTGTCCTAAATGTCGATCGTCTGTTTGTGGGTTGCTGTGAATACCACATGCATTAAGTTTGTCTATGTATGATGTGTGCATTAGATAAATCCAAAATTCAGGATTGCATGGACAGCCTGGCTCAGCAGAAAGAGAATTGTCTTCAGACCACGTTCAGGGGCATCTCTAAGAACTTTCGGACCATTTTCTCAGAACTCGTGCCTGGTGGAAAGGGAGAGCTCACAATGATCACAAAACAATTGGTAGGTGTGATTCTCAAGCGATCGTTGGATAGGCCATGGCTTTTCAGAACTGTTGCATCAAACCCAGTGTCCTTGCACTGGAGACGAGTGGGCTGGTCACACAACCACTGCCCAGAGTTTCGTCTGCACGTGGTGGCAGTGTTGGTGGTGCCTGATGTTTAGGGTTTGTCGATGAGGCATGCCCACAGTTGCACAGGGTTTGGCCTGCCCTGAGAAATGTTGTTTAATGCTCTTACTACAGCAAATGCAGAGGTCAATCATTGATAAAACATGAAAGGAAGGGGTTTGACGTGCAACTGTGCGAAAATATTCAAATTGGAGAATGTGAGCAAAGCGATCATTCGTTAGGGATGTGCATGTGCAGGAAGCGCCTGTAGAACGTGATGATGGTGGTGATGATGAGCCAGATGTGGACCCTACCACAGATCGCTACGAAGAGGTCAAGGTTAAGGTAGGGAATCATGCTGTCAACACTTGTAAAGGAAGTTTCCTAAGTGCTACACTCACTTGGAGCATGTTTGCAATTACTGTATTATGTTATACCCCTCCGTATTGTACCGTTTGGCCTTTTTGTGCAGAGCAGTAATAAAAACCTACCGGTGCCAAGAAAATATGTAGCAGCCCCAGCCTCGACACGAGGGTCTGTGGAGTGCCTGTGGCATTTAGCGGCCCCCGATGCATGAGTCGCTGTGGCAGACACCAGCATTTGAGGCCATGCGAGCAGAGCGAAGTCGCCATTCCGGCTGTAACCACGATGCAGTGCCTCTCAAAATAATGGTCTGTCGAAAAACTGTGCAGCAAAAATCATACGCTGATATTTCAAAATGCACAAGGGTATAAAGTACTACGTTATTCGGCACCCAGCGGTGCAACTTCACAAATTTCACAAGTTTAGGCACATGTTGTTATGGTTAGGCTGCTACTTTCGCATGCTGCCCACAAGGAAGTCATTGTTGAGGAACACGTAGACCAAAAGTGGGAAACCACTTCCTCTGTCCCATTGCAAATGTCCCCTATTGAGAATCGCTGTTTTGTTACATAGATGAAGGCAAATGTCCAAATAGACAGCATATTCGGAAAGGACATGCACCCAGGCGCCCTAGGGCACCTCAAAAACGAAACAACTCTTCTTAGTTTCTTTTTGCATCAGCCGAAGGGCACATATTATGTAAAAAATCGACAATCAGACGACGATCGCTGATCGAGCCTTTCAGAGCCCGTTTCGACGACCCATGCCTCATTAGGTTGCAGTGCACCGACCTTCACATGAAGTGGTATTGCGAGTTCTTAAAGTGCAGTTCTGAAGCACTAGTTGGAAGAGGCTTCTTCACCATAGCAAGTGTGGGCTATTTTGGAGAACACTTGAAATTTTGGTCTTTCTTGACTGGATCTGTTGGGAGTCAAGGCATTGCCACCTCTTGGTTACTTTGAATCGGTATCTTATTTTCATACACGATCCTCTGTACTCAAAACTACGAAAACCAAAGAATTCTTGCAAACACTAGTTAGGTTTGATTATAGAAATAGCAGTGTATAATCATAGGAGGCATCTGTTGTGGGACGGAGCAAGTGCTGAGAGTGCATTGCCACTGTGCCAGTGCTGATAATTTGCCATTTGATGGTACACATTGTGGCACAAGGCACAGTGCAGCCTTGGATGTAACAGCCTAACTGGCTAACATGTGTATCTGCCTTCCTCTCAGGTTGATTTTGGTGGTGGGGATGTGATGTCGATGAAGCAACTGTCGGGAGGCCAGAAAACTGTGGTTGCCCTGGCTTTAATTTTTGCGATCCAGCGCTGCGATCCAGCACCTTTCTACCTTTTTGATGAGATAGATGCGGCACTGGACCCTCAGTACCGTACAACGGTGGCGCAGATGCTCCAAAAGCAGGTGGGCAACTGTGCACACTGAGAGTCGAGGTGTTGAATTCCTGAGATTGCAGTTGTTGCTCAGGATGAGTAATGTTCTTTTCCATGTTTGGGGATGATGCGGACAGAGGACTCTCAACACATGCCTCTGCAGTCAGTTGTTCACATTCGAGAAGGGGAGAAGATGATTTGCCAGAAACGCGAGTCTGCGGACTGTACACAATACAGCCTGTACGCAGTGAGTGTGTTTCTGAGCATACTAGTCAAATTACTCGTGAATCTGCAGTGGAGCAATACTGTTAGGTGAAGCAGACCAGGCAACTGGAACAATGTCAGCATGTAAATGGTGATATGAGGATATTTGCCACAAATAGAAGTATGTTCCGCTCTACAGGCATGCGGCCACAATTTTTGTTTCATCTGCAATTGCAGCAACCAAGAGTCAATGAATCTTGGAAGCAAATCACTGCTTGGTGAACAAGTGCCATCTTGATCACATGACACCATTGCCAAAGCTTGTCCAATGTGCTGGACGACGATTCTAAGATGTGATTGTGTTTTGTTGTGAATGCTGCAGCTTACACAAACAACTGCATTTTTTGTGTGCATGTTGGAATTATCGATAAATCGATAAATTGGAAGGCTTGTGGCAGTTGCCGGCCCACTGACGTGAACCACACTGAAATGTGAACTGTAGTTCTTGTGAACGTGGACTGTGTTTCTTTGCAGAGCGAGGATGAAAACAACCATGCTCAGTTCATCTTAACGACATTTCATGAGCAGCTTGTGCACGTCAGCGATCATGTGTATGGTGTGTCACACACAAACAAGATTTCTCGGGTGGACAGAATCCAGCACCAACATGCCTTGAAGTTTGTGCAAAATCAGGGCGATGGTGAAGATGAGGCGGAGGGGTGAACAGCACGTGGCGAATGTAGGCATCAATCGTGACCAGTTGTAGGCCACAAGTTCTGATGGGACGAACACGCACAATGCATATCAATGTCAAGATTTTTAGCGAGTGTCACAGTACCTCCAGGTTGCAGGCTTGCTGCAAATGTACATAGACATTGGCAGTATAAGATAGACCCATCGATGTGGACAGTTCACTCTTGTGAATTGTGTAATATAGGTTTTGAGTGCTGGTTATCTTCGTGCCTCCATCGGCAGCAACATCGTTTTTTATGTTCACATGGTGGTGTCATCAGGAGCCATGGTATGAGCGGATGTTGAGGAACCTGCGGAGGTTGATTTGCGATGTGGACGTTCGTTTCCAGAACAAGTCTGATGAAAGCAACCACGCTGCTGAGGGCTATTTGGATATGCCCAGCGGACAATCGTTGACTCACAATCTAGAATAGTGGACGGGACTTCCTCCTCAGTATGCATTTCAGACTAAAACGACGATACAAAAGAACATTCTTTATTATTTGGTTCTTCCCGACTGGGTGGAGATCCTGCAAGATGACTACCTGCAATTGCGTGCAGCCAGTGCAAAACCGAGGACTGCTGCAGGGGCAGCACCGAAAGCAGCAGCAGCCGTTAAACAATGTTTGTTGGTTTGCACGGAACTGGTGGAGGCAACTCCCGCTGACGAGAATGCCCTCCCTCTGTTGGCGCGACACAACATGGGGTTCACGTACCCATTTGCACCACAAGCCCCGGGCAACTGCATATCTGATGATGCAACGTTGAAAACTTGATGGGCTTGACTTTTTTGTTGTACGTGTGTGCCCCGCGAACGAGCACATTGGTACGGGTCCGTCCCCACCGCACTGTGGGCTTACAAAAGACCATTGCACGGGACATCGCATTCATTTACGCGGTGAAGGATAAAAGGACCACGACACTTGCTGTAATGTCTCTCACGGGGCTTCACAAGTCCACAGCTATTGAGGAGAGGCACGGAGCCAAGCCAAGTGCAATGTACGGTACGATATCGATGCCGTATGCCTCGCGTGCACGGACATAGTTGGCACTTGTTGGCGGGAACTGTTTGGTGCCCTGCCTCCCGGGAAGCACCCACGCTCAGCGGGTGTCGGCGACGCTTCTCCGGGCGACATGGAGGCACCTCGAGGCGGCGGACGCGATGGAGACGGAACTCCAGATAGCAGGAAGCGGCCAGGGGGCGAAGGGGCGCAAGGCAGGCCGACGCGACGCAGGAGAGCGATGGCCGATGTCGCC